GGAAGAAATTCTTTACAGAGAGGGTAATCAGGCATTGGAACGGCCTGCCCAGAGAGGTGGTGGATTCACCATCCCTGGAGGTTTTTAAGCAGAGATTGGATGTGGCCCTTAGTGCCATGCTATAGTAATTGGAGTTGGATCAGGGGTTGGACTTGATGATCTTGGAAGTCTTTTCCAACCCAATCTATTCTATGATTCTATGCCTCAGAATGAAAATTCTTTTTCTGATTCACATCTTCCTCATTACTTTTTATACCCTTAATTCAAATGCCACCTGGTCTAAGTAATCTCTGATTTTGATTTAAGAATAATCCATACACTTGTAATAAACTGGCCTGCCAGAACTTTTTGCTTATGTACACCCTTAAATAGCGTAGTAAAGAGTTTACACTTTTCGGTCCATTGGGCTGCAGGAGCCAGTTGATCTCTGATGTTACTTTATGTTCAACAACTTCACTTTCTCTCCATATATTTACTCCAAGAGTAAGAATTAGATATTAAGCAGAGAAATTCTTGTTCAGCAAGATTCCCCATGATTTCAATTGTGTAATAATGGTGTATCATGTAAAAGAAAATATAAGAATAATTTTTTTGTTTCTGATAATTATTATTAGACCAAGATCATGCAAGCATGCACAGTTAACATGTATCTTGCAAAAGTCTGTCTTTTTGTATGACAGGTACGTGTTAACTTTACACTTGATGACCAAAGAGCAGAATGATGCATTCTATAATACTCAGCTCACCTAAAAAAAACCCACAAGCAAAAACCCCCAGACATTACTGGTTACCTGCATTGTTAATTTCTGTATATACTGGTTTGTTTACTTTAGTTGTAGTAACATTGCCATGAAAAGGGAACTCCTTTTATAGTTATTATTGGAACTAAGCAAGCAACTGACATTTTTTTTCTAATCTAACAATAAAAGGCTGGTTTTCATGACAGAAAAAATATCATTTAATTGAGGAACAGAAATTCCCTCATTTTTCTGACAATTCAATTTCTACCAGTCCAAGAGCAAGGGAACTAACATACTTACTGCCTCCTCCCTTTTAATTTTGTGAATAATGTTAATGTTCTAATTTCTAAAAGAGTTACAAACTATACAAACTTTTTTCCAAAAAAAATTTCTAAAAAGAAAGAATAAAAGAAGAATCCATATTTCTTAGAAGAAATGATCTGTCAAAACCAATTTGAATTCACAAGCAGTTCTTTGTCCCCAGACAAAACCACATACTTCAGGAAAAAGCTCATTGTTGGTTCCCAATTTCTGTGGTTTCTCCTAAAACACCAGATGGTGGTCTCCAGCATGGACTCAACCCTGTAAGCTGCTAGCCAAGGCTACACAAGAATCTCGTGCAGGTTTGGGAACGAAGCCCAGATCTCTTGGCTTCCAGCTTGAGGGAACATTGCATTCTGTGTTGCAGGTACAGCTGCAACTGTACCGGTACTGGATTTATGGGGCTGCACTGCGAGACCCTCGTTCCCTTATGTTGGTCACAGCCTTGCTACAACAACGCCACCTGCGAGGACAACGCTGACAATTACACGTGCCACTGTTGGCCAGGTAAGCTCCAAGTTCTCACAGCAGAATGGGGCCAAATCAAAAGCACCACTATTATGGAGTCAAGACAGGAGATCAGACAAAGCTGGGACCCACCTCTCAGTTACTTAATCTTTCAACCTGTGTGATACATGCATCACAGCTGCAGCTGACCCTTTCTTTAGTCTGTGCTAAGACAAACTTTAAACCACCCTAAAAACTTGTTCACAAATGCAAAACATTGGGTATGAACAAAAATTAAACCAGATGTTATTCTATGCTGGGAAACTGGACTCCTTCATGGCACCAGTGCAAGCCCTTCTGTCTGGTAGTGAGGGGTTCTCTACCACCAGGGCTTGTGTATCCAGCTGTTTGCGACCTGGCCCCCAAACCCACAGTAGGGATACAGACCTTGCCCTCTGGAGAGACGACACAGCTCTTTCAGCACGGGAACTAACCACAAGAAGTCTCTGTAGGAGTTTAACACCTGTGACCATACTGAGGATGCAGGAGCACAGACAGCACAGTGGGAAGTAAATGCCTCAGTGTTGTTGGACTGGTGCAATAGAAAAGGAAAAATTAGGCAGAACCCGTAACATTTTCCAGAATTTGGGGAGTCTCATAGCACTTCAAACTCCAGATGAAAAACTTTATAAACACCGAATGATTTATGCTTCCTGCCCTCCTCTGCCTTTCCACAACCTGAGAGCGTGCATAAACCACAATGCAGCGCCTTGTTACTCACACAGATCTTCACCCTATCGCCAAAAAAAAGACTCAAACAAATTCTGCATAGCACAGGTCAGCTCCCCAGTGCAGAATAGACACAGCAATGTCCTGCTGCCAAGAGCTCTGCCTGGCAGAGAGCTCAAGAGAACATTCACACCTTCAAGGAACTGAACAAACACCTGACAAAGCCTGAAACCACGTTTCAGCTACTATTTACAGTGTATATTTGGTGTATATTGTAGGGGCTGAAAGGGGTGAATAGCAAATAGAATCCTAGAATGGTTGGATTAGAAGGCACCTTAAAGGTCATCTAGCCTTCCAGTACCTGAAGAGAGCCCAACAAAAAAGATTAAGAGGGGCTGTTTACAAGAGCATGCAGTGACAAGGGGAAACGGCTTCAAACTGAAAGAGAATAGGTTTAGATTAGATATCAGGAAGAAATTCTTTACTGTGAGGGTGGCGAGGCACTGGCACAGGTAGTCCAGAGAAGCTGAGGATGCCCCATTCCCTGGAAGTGTCCAAGGCCGGGTCGGATGGGGTTCTGAGCAGCCGGTCTAGCGCAAGGTGTCCCTGCTCACGGCGGGCGAGTCACCTTACCATGTTACGCCACTGACCGGCCTGTCGCGGTGCTCTCCGCAGGGTACGCGGGGTCCCGCTGCGAGGAGGACATCGCCGAGTGCCGCAGCAGCCCCTGCCTCTCCGGCGGCCACTGCCTGGAGCGCTCCTGGGCCGGGCTCTACGGGCGCGTCCCGGGGCTGCCGCCGGCCTTCCGCTACGACCGGGCCGAGGGATACATCTGCCGCTGCCCGCCGGGATTCGCCGGTAAGGATCCCCGGTCGGTGCCGCGGGTGGGATGCGGGTCCCGCGGGGCGCAGGGTCCCTCTGCCGGCAGCGCGGCCGGGCGGGATGCTCCGCCGCCTAAATCGGATACAACCTCCACTTGGTGCGCGTAGCTCTGTTCTTAAGGGGGAAACAAACAAACAAACAAACAGTCGAATTTACAAATAAGCATAATCCTGAAGGGGATACGTTCAGACTTGCTTTTGCCACAGCCCGCCCTGTTTGGCACAGTCACGAACCCGCTGGGTTTGGATTGTACACTTCTAGGCCTGTCAACTCCATCCGCTTGTTTCTTCTGAAGGAAAAAAAAAACAATTAACAGCTAGATTCATTTAACCGGCTGTCAATTTCTCGTTCTATTCATCTCCTGAGCAGCTTATAAACTTTCTTGAGAGTTGCATGACTTATGTCTCCAACATAGCAAGTACTAAAGTACATGGAGACCAGAGCTTTCACTTTGAATTCCCTCTTTATTTTTCTTCAAAGTAGCATTGAGACTTGTTTGCTTTTGTTCCAATCCTTCCCCTGAACTGTCCTTCCCTATCCTGTCACTAAGTGTTGCTGTTGTGCTTTTGTTCTGCCTCAGAGAGCATAACATGAGGCTTCTACTAAGGTTTTTGGTTTCTACCAGGCTGTCCTAACCACCCTTACCTCTTGTCATGCCACCTCTTTCTCTTCTCCTCCTTCCAGTGATGTCCAGATTTCCAGTTTCTTTTCCTTCTGTTTTGTCCTAACTCAAAAACTTCTAAGCTCTGTGAGACAACCTGAAAGGTATTTCCTTGTTTAATCATCATCCTTTATCCTCTTATTTCCTTATCAATTGCCTTCACCTGGTTTGTTTGACTAATTTGGGTCGTGATTCTACTGGTTTCATTCACATGTAGTTCTCTTACTCCCCAGGCAGTATAGGTAGACTCTAACCAGTCTGGAGGAAAAAAGTGTAAGAATGTACTTTAATCTATTAGTCTTGCATCAATTTTTTCAATCCAGAAGTTCCTCAAGCACAATGCAAGACTCTTCAAAGTATGACTGAAAGTACTGGTGACCCTGACATTTCTGCTGACTTCATATGCAAATTAAATTACATTTTAAAAAAACCTTAAGTACGTTTAGTTACTCACATACCTGTTGGATGCTGGATATATAACTTTCAATAGAAAGAAAACCCAAAATATTTATTCTTACCAAACAGTGTGCCCAGACAGCTGGAGGCAGAAAGATGATAATCTTTAACAGGGCACAGTGGTAGCAGTAACACTACACATTTCCCTCTGGCCCTTCTCCTTTCCCCAGGTAACTTGGAAATGTTTGCCTCTGACCAGGAAAAGTAATTTCTCCAATTATAGCCAAATAGTAAATAAACCACAAGTTTTAACGAAAATTAATGAAGATTTAAGATTAGAGTTGATAGCAGTAGTATGATTCAAGGTAGCAGGTCAGTCCCTGATCAGGACCAATCAGTATCTGGGTTCTTATCTAATGTAGATGAACTAACGGTCACCTGGAAAATAGGCCAAATCGTTTCATCTGGATATCAGTGTATTTCACTGACACCACAAATCCTACATTTCTGCAGCTGTAGGGCAAGAGTTTTTCCAGCCTTAACACCTGAATAGTTGCATGTGCTTTAGATATAACCACTCAGACTCCTATTGCAACAGGACAGAGATTTTATTTAATAAATCACATTCATTTTATTATGACTCTTCCCTCAGTAAAGCATTCACATAACATTACAATCATACTTCACTGATGGTGGTAATACGCAGAAATAATAATCCACATACCCTGCATTGTGAAGGCCTGATCTAAAAGCCATTGGAATCAACGGAAAGGTGTAATTAAACCGAGAATGGTTGCCAACATGCAACAAGCACAAACCAGCATCTCTGAACTTACTGGATAAGATTGCAAACAAATTAGTGTCGTTGAATTAAAAACTGAGAATATCTACCTTTTGGACTATAGTTTTAGACCTAAGGGCAGGAGATAATGGAGCCTAAACACACACCTATGTCAGGATAAATTATTTCCCCACCAAGCTGCTAAAAAGGAATGGATATTACCTGGCAACATCTTGTTACAGATAGTGATTGTTCAGGTGACTGGAAAATAGTCCATAGTCCTGCTGAAAGTCTTGAAAGGAGAAAATCTGCAAACAAAATTATTTACACAATTTCATTCTTATAAAATAAAAAATAAAAATTCCAGTCTGGAGACTTCTTCCCAGCTAGAAACTCTTTGAGGACATTAGTTATATGTCTTATCCAGATCTGAAATAGAAAATTTCTGCACAAGTTCTATGAAGGGTTAAACTTCTCCAGCTCCCTTTTAAATCAAAGGGTTTGGGGATACTCAGATTTCAAGAGGTCGCAGTACTTCTGCAGTAGCAAGCCCTAGATTTTTTTATATTACCTTGGTCTGCTGGCCCCTAGCACAACAGTACTTTTAATAAATTGGGCTTTCATTTAAAGTCTTGTGATTTGTTACTGCTAAAGGCAATCGTTACCCTAGAACTTTGTCCTTTCATACTGTGGATATATTGTATTGCTCTAGCACTGCACATTTGTTAAAAAGAGTGTTATTTGAGAGGTTAAACTTTCCACTTTGCTCATGAAAATACGTGAGAAAGGAGGAAGGCAGAGCTATGGATTTGGTAGCGACTCATTTCACCAGGTTGTAATAAACTTAACACCATGTCAAAATTAAAGAGCTTCTGAACTTGCAAGGTCTACCAAGTGACACAATCCAGCATGGAACTGAGCCCAAGGAGCAGTGACCATGCCAGGCAGGCAGGTCCTACTCCCTGTGCCTTGAATGCTGTGCTGCCCATGGTCCCAGGTGGGTGGGACAGTTCTGCCAACAGGAGTGAAGCTTATTTTTGCATCAGCAGAACAAGGGTAAGAGGAGCAGAGCGCACTAACCTGGCTGTTGCAGCGTGCCTGCTGCCATGCAGACGAGTGCTGGCTCATCAGTGCCTTTCCACTGCTGGTGTCTTGTCATCTGCTGTGTGCCAGCTGTGCCACCAGCACTGCTGCCTGCTTTGGCACCATGAATTCCTAAATGGGTTTTGGCCTTTTCCTTTACTTGTCTTGTTTTCTGGTTTTCTCTTTTAAATATCCTTGGCCCTTTTCCCAGTCTGTTGGACTAATGCAAGAGAAAATGATATGATCAGACTGGTGTCATATGGGTATTGAATTCCTGGCATATGCATGGGAGAAAGAAACTGTCTCCCAGAGCCAGAAGATGAGGCAGATAAATGGCCAGTATGGGAGAGTACCCAGTACTCAACTAAGTAAAGAAAACCTCCACCCAGACAATGAACTGTGAACATCATGGGACCAGTACTTGAAAACTGAACCGTTTGGACTCTCATTCTGCACTGAAGCCAGGGTGACAGAAACATAGGGGCACACAGGGCATCAGGCTTCCATTTCCCTGCATGCCTTTAGGTGCTGCTATGGGCAGACCATCCAGCAGACGGCAGGACAGACTGTCTCAGCCAGCCATCCTCCTCTCCCCTGGCCTGTCACAGTATGGTACAGACAGAAATATTATTTATGAGTAGGATAGTGGGCATATTACCACTAACTAACTACCACTAACTACCAGTACCTGGGAAGCCTAAAATACATACATATATTTTTATGATTATAAAAAAAAATATATATTTTCTTTATTTTTAATCTCCTTCCTTACCACAATCACACAGCTGCTGTCTTTAGATATATAAAGCAATGTGACTTACAAAAATGAAATCAAGGAGTTGAATAGCAAAGATCTCACCTCCAAACTCCCAATTTAATTTTTTTCCTTTATTTCCTTGTCTGTCCTTCAGCTGTTCACACCATGGTAGTCAATCATTCCTCCATTAACCAGGTTAACTCATTTTATTTCATGACCTGTCATCACAGTTTTAAAAGGTTATTTTCTCTTCATTCTGAGACTTTAGAATAAGATAAGGCTGTTCAAGGAAAGAAAGAGGATAAAAAAGCAGAAGACAGAGAGAGAAAATACAATTTTCAAGTTAAGAAGCTTTCAAGAGCACAGGTCCTCTTTTCAGTGGGACTCAGGCTTCTCCTGCAAGCAAGAAAGGCACTCAAATTCAAAATTAACAGGTCTGGAAGTACTGTTAGCTAATTATTATTCCCATACATGCAAAGTTTCAAGAAGGAAAATGTTGTTACCATCAAGTACCATTCAAAGTAACCTAATACTACACACATGAAATTGCTGAAAAAAAGTGTTAGATCTTGAGATCTCTTCCTCTGAGCTTCTTACCACTCTGGAACTCTCAGAGGCTATGTTTGGTATGCAAACACACACCTTTGCTGCCCAAATTCGGTTTACAATCAGTACAGGATCCCTTTTTCACTGTTAGCCTGCTATGAAATGCTCCCTTACAAAATCAGCTCGGTGGTATTGGGCACTTGTGCAGCAAAACATGAAAAAGTGTAGCTCCTTTCTGAGCACGGGAAAAAAGTTATTGCTTTCCTAGAGGGATTTATACAATGCTGCCCTATCTCTGTCCCAGCCACTGTGATCTCCATGTATTCCTGTGTTCAAAAGCACAAGGGGAAGGAGGAGGAGGACCTCCTCTCACTGCTCCCAGTCAGTCTGGAAGCTCCAGCATCACATGGCCAGCTCAGTCAAAGGCTGTACCAACACAGGATGCCCTCAGGGCCTGGCAGGCACTTACTGCCTGTAAAAACCCTACACAAAACAGACAATTAGCACTTTAAAGTACTTTTTCCATCTCTTCTAAAGCCTCTGATCTTGAAAGTACATTTGGACAAGCTTTTAATAATTCTATCCACTAATACCATTTAACATTTCTTCTATCAGTAGCATCCTGGTAAGGAGATGTTCACATTGTCAGAATTGGTTCTTTCTCAGTTTGCCCCTCTACTGTCACAGAGTTCTTCCTTCTCCCTTTTATTCTTAATTTTTGGAAATGGTCAGAATACTCTCTTTAAAAGACA